CAGTGATGAGTGTGAGCAGTGCTGAGAGCCTGATGGAGCAATTGTCGAGCGACTGACAAGTGACGAGTCTCTAGCTCAAACTTTTGCTTGGTGTTTACCTTATGATTAAATTGTTGCATATCTGCCGGTTCCCGCCTCTGAATGAGTGAGATTTAGCTACTTGTAGCATTCAGAAAAAACAAAAAAACCCATGAAAAAACAGGCAGGCGCCTTGCCAATAAATGCCTAGCACCTTTCTGTTTAAAAAAATGATAACAAAAACATAACTTTACATCAGACATCTTTCAAAACAACATATTCAGTGCAAAAAACATTACTCTCCTGCTTGCTGGACAAAGTGGGTAGTATATAACTTATACACAATTACAGACTGTACTTGGTAGAGCTACGCATGAATTTGCTCTTCAGTGTTTGAACTCTCAGTAATGATTAAATCACACTGAACTGAGCTAAACTGAACTTAAACACTAAAAAACTGAACTACACTGTTCCAGTTACTATGACCATTTATGTGAAGCTGCTTTGACACAATCTACATTGTAAAGCGCTATACAAATAAAGCTGAATTGAATTGAATTGTACTATGAAAAATATTATATTTTAAAAGGTAACGAATTCTTAAAATATAACGACATATATTCAAAAGTTAATTTTAGTCTCAATTGAAGATTTGATTGTAAATATGACATGACAATATGATAACAGTCAGACAAACCGTATATTGTCACACTAGTAGTTATAGAATTCTGTTAGTTCCACTGTAAAACTGACCTGAAAAAATAAGTTTAGTAGTCTACTTTATATTTGACCCAACATTGACTCACAACAAGCCAGCATTTTTTAGAGTGTATCTTCTTCAACATTTGATGTTTTGAGTGTTCAGAGATGCTCTTTCGCAGACATCGGATTTATCATGTGGTTATTTGAGTGCATTGCCTTTCTATCAGCTCAAATCCGTCTGGTCATTCTCCTTTGACCTCTGGCATCAACAACACATTTTTGACCACAGAACTGTCACTTAGAGTATACGTTCTCTTTCCTTGACCATTTTCTGTAAACCCTAAGGATGGTTGTGCTTGAATATGCCAGAAGATCAACAGTTATTGAAATACTCAGACCAGCTCATCTGGCATCATCAATCACGCCACACTCTAAGTCACTCAAATCATCTTTCTTTCCCATTCTGAGGGTCGAACCTTCAGCAGATCATCTTGATAATGTCTTCATGCACAAATGTAGTACTTTTCCATTATATTGGCCAATAAGCAGTTGAATAAGTGTCTAATATTAAGTTCAAAGTCATAAATATTTTACAAAATATATTTTTAAAAATCCATGCTGGGAATTAAATGAATCAGTGGCTCTTTGTTCTAAAATGATATGTTAATGTGAGCCATCTGAATCGACTGAATCGCTTGGATGAACATGACTTTGGAATGCCAAATGAGCAACATTTAAAGATGGTTGTTTTAAGATTCAAGTATTTAGGTGGCTTTTTGGTGTCACCTTTATTCTAACAATAACAGCACAGGCTTAGACATTACAAAACTGCAAGACTACACTTCACGCTGAAGCTCTAATCTATGCAAATGCATGCTGGAGCTCTCTAAATGTTCCAACATACATTACACGGAAGGACTTTTTATTACATAAAACATCAAGTATGCATTTCAATTGGCGTACAAAGCCAAGCAAGTAGATCTGTGCTTTCTCTCAGAACATTTTCAATTTGGGTGCAGTGCCTTGGAGACAATTGCCTCCTGGTATTGACCAAGAGCTTCCACCTTTGAAGTGAATCTTAACTCGTCTTCGCTTTGATGTATAAATAGGTCCTTCATGCTTGTTAGGCTTGCGCATCTCACTTTGAGCTCAGCTCCTCCCTCTCTTGTCATCCTGGCTGCTTGTACACCTTGGGGAATCCATTCTGCCGATGTCAAGGGAGCCCCGGATTACCATTACAATGATAGAGTTGACTGGAACAGCGGTGAGCAGCATGCGGCGGGGCTCCCAGTCTCGACTGAACAGTAAATACAGTACAGCGAGACACTAGACCTGTAGCCACGGCCCTCAGGCCTCTTCTTAATCCGTCCCGACCGTGTCCGGACCCCCCGTTAGGACAGCGGGGTGGGGGTGTGGAAGAGGGTGGAGTCACACCAGCTGGTTTGGTGCCTCCTGGCAGTGGCTTGATCTGCCATCTGTCCGACTCAGCCAAAAAACACACCCCTTGATTTCCCAATTCATGTTTCTCTCCTTGCTGTTCCAGGACAGGTGAGACCTAGCATGAAAGCATATGTCTGAGGGATCGATCAAGATGCTCTAATAAACTAGTCTGGTTTATACCGGTTTTAGATTTTGTGAACATTTACAACAGTGATGATTAAAATTGAATTGGCGAGGCAGTGGCGCAGTAGGTAGTGCTGTCGCCTCACAGCAAGAAGGTCGCTGGTTTGAACCTCGGCTCAGTTGGCGTTTCTGTGTGGAGTTTGCATGTTCTCCCTGCCTTCGCGTGGGTTTCCTCCGGGTGCTCCGGTTACCCCCACAGTCCAAAGACATGCGGTACAAGTGAATTGGGTAGACTAAATTGTCCGTAGTGTGTGTGAATGTGTGTGTGGATGATTCCCAGAGATGGGTTGTGGCTGGAAGGGCATCCGCTGCGTAAAAACTTGCAGGATAAGTTGCCGGTTCATTCCGCTGTGGCGACCCCGAATTATTAAAGGGACTAAGCTGACAAGAAAATTAATTAATGAATGATTAAAATTGAAAAGTTTTTGCTTTATGTTTTTAAAAAGTTTGGCCTATGGGGGACAATGATGTCAAAATAATCCCTGTTTACATAGATCTGCAAAAACAACTGCTGTATTATGCATGCCAAGCCAGTAGTTGGTGCTGTCACTTTGTAAAAAATAAAAAAAAATAATAATAAAAACACTATACATTTATTTAGAGATGGTCCTTTAGTCCACAGTTGTTAGTTGTCAAGTACTTGTACAGGTCTATAAACTGACTGCACAGCACTCGACATCTAGAGCTGTGGCAAAATTGATTCTGTGACTTTTAAAATGCATTGCTATTCTGTCTTGAATCAATTCTGGGCATCGTTTTTAACAGCAGACAGTGCTCTAGGCAAGTTTTGAACAGTAGGTTGTGGTCTAGGCTGATTTTAAACAGTAGATGACGCTCAGCAGGCGGTGATCTAGGCTAGTTTTGAACAGTAGATGATGCTCTAGGCTAGTTTTTTAAACCTATTCTATCTTATATTGATTCTGAGCATAGTTAATAGCAAATGGTGCTCTAGACTACTTTCTAACAGTGGATGGCGGTCTAAGTTAGTTTTAATAGCAGACAGCGCACTAGACTAGTTTTGAACAGTAGATGGTGCTCTAGGCTAGTTTTTAAAGCCAGATCAAGCTCATAACCCATTGCTATTCTGTCTTAACTTGATTCTAAGCGTAGTTTTTAACAGCAAATAATGCAGATGGTGCACTAGGCTAATTTTGAACAGTAGATGGTGCTCTAGACTAGTTTTTAACAGTAGATCAATCTCAGAATCAATTCAAGACAGAATAACATTGTGTTTTGAGCTTGATCTGGTCTTAAAAACTAGCCTAGAGCACCGTCTGCCATTTAAAATTAGCCTAGAGTGCCATCAGCTAGTAAAAACTAGTCTAGAGCGCCATTTGCTGTTAAAAACTATGCTCAGAATCGATTCAAGACAGACTATCGATGTGTTTTGTGCTTGATCTGCTGTTAAAAACTAGTCTAGAGCACCATTCGCTATGCTTTGAGTCAATTCAGTACAGAATAGCAATGAGTTATGAGCATAGCAAATGGCACTCTAGACTAGTTTTTAACAGCATATGGTGCTCTAGGTTAATTTTAAACAGTAGATGGCACTGTTGGTTAGTTTTAATAGCAGATGGCGCACTGGGCTAGTTTTGAACCGTAGATGGTGCTCTAGGCTAGTTATTAACAGCAGAGCAAGCTCAAAGCACATTGCTATTCTGTCTTGAATTGATACGGAGCATAGTTTTTAACAGTAAATGACACTTTAGACTAGTTTTAATATCAGACATCACTCTAGGCTAGTTTTGAACAGTAGATGTCGCTCTAGGCTAGTTTTTAAGACCAGATCAAGCTCAAACACATTGCTATTCTGTTTTGAATGGATTCTGAGCATAGTTTTTTCCAGTAAATGGCGCTCTAGACTAATTTTAATAGCAGACGGCACTCTAGACTAGTTTTGAAAAGTAGATGGCGCTCTAGGCTAGTTTTTAACAGCAGAGCAAGCTCAAAAAATATTGTTATTCTGTCTTGAATTGATTTTGAGCACAGTTTTTAACAGCAAATTGCGCACTAGACTAGCTAATAACAGCAGATGGCGCTCTAGGCTAGTTTTGAACAGTAGATGGCGCTCTATGCTAGTTTTTAGCAGCATATCAAGCTCCAAACACATTGCTGTTCTGTCTTGAATGGATTCTGAGCATAGTTTTAACAGCAGATGGCGCTCTAGGCAAATTTTAAACAGTAGATGGCGCGCTAGGTTAGTTTTAATAGCAGACAGCACTCTAGGCTAGTTTTAAACAGTAGATCACACTCTAGGCTAGTAAAAGCAGATCAAGCTCCAAACACATTGCTATTCTGCCTTGAATTGATTCTGAGCATAGTTTTTAACAGTAAATGGCGCTTTAGACTAATTTTAATATCAGACAGAACTCTAGGCTAATGGCAAATGGCGCTTTAGTATGCACATTTAAAGAATCGGAACTGTAAAATAAAATGCTTCCATAATTTCTTTAGAGACCATACTGGGGGACAGAATAATCTTCCTTTCTCTTCCAACCCATCTGTTTTATGTGCGTCATCAGATAATATCAGGATGATGCTCACAGAATCAAACCCACATCATTTTTCAAACCCTAATGAAATATTGATAGACGATCCATAAAGATCAGATTTCAGTCAGGTTCCCTAATCAGTTCTTTTTCCCTCTCTCCCTTCAGGTGTTTCTCTCGATCCGATCACTTGGCACTGCACATGAAGAGGCACGTCTGAGGAGGAAGAGGAGGAGGCGGGAGGAAGAGACAGAGAGAAGGCCGAGGGAGAGAAAGAGGGGGATTATGGGAAAGAGCCGAATACCACTCAGGCCGTTGGCTCATCCCACTGGAGGGAGACCCCGGTGTGGAAACAACCAGCAAGAGCTGAACTTACACCAGGTCTTGAGGTTTGATCGGCGAGATGCAAGTCACATCTGACCATGAGGATGTACATTCTGCGGTCTACAGATCTGAGAAGGTGTTATGACAGCTCATGTCAATGTGCTTCAGTTGGTACTCACAACATCAATGACTTGATTTAGTTACGAATAATGCGCTCTCCAAGACCCATTAAAGATTTTGCCAATGTTACTTAGACATCTTGCGCATATTGTCACAGACAAAAGCTATTGTTGCTCCAGATTTAATTTGCTGCACCGTGCAGGACGTGAATGCATCTCCTTTGGAGAATATCGTAGCGATAGGACGTCAATCCAAAGAGATGGATTTTTGTTTGTTTGTTTCATTTTGAGCAAGGATTATCCTTCTGCTTTGATCCCGCCAAGATCTAAAGTGGAATGTCCATCTGGAGAAATCTGGATTTCAAAAGGCGACCAAGATGAATCGCTTTTATATGTGTATTTGACCGGAGGAGTGAAAGAAACGCTCTTACCTTCTTCATAGATGGACAAATCTCTCTCTTTCACATCCCTCCCTGCCAACTAACCAACCAACCGCTGCGCAGCGACACTTTGAGACTTTTTATAAAGAAAAAAAAATCAAGGAAGAGATCTTTTTGAATGATGACTATGTTATATAATTCAGAAGACTTCTTTTTTTGCTTTTCTCCTGTGGATGTGTACAAAATAGAAAAAGAAACAAAAATGGACCAAAAAAGAAAGAAAAACTGCCATATGCACAAGCGAAAAGTAGTGGATTCTACACTGGCACAGACCGCATCTGAGGTGGACTTCATTTCTTTAGAAACGCAAACTTTTAGTGGCAAAAAAGAAAAAAAGAAAAAAGCAATGTTGTTGTTGCACACGTTTTGAGCATTCCTCAACATTATTTATAACCCATGAAATGTTCCCCCATAAACTTGGGTTTCTTCGGGATTTCTAGGACTAGCATGAAATGAGAAAAGCACCATGGTTTATCTGCGGACTTCACAACAAAATAATGACTTCCACCATTCAAGGCAAGATTTGCGATCAGAAAAGTTTAGGTTGTGTAGTACGTCCCGAAAAACTGTCCGGACAGACACTTCCCATCTGTTATTTTAGTTTGGATGGTACAAAGCATCATAAATTGAAAAAAAAAAATAGTGTGCGTTTTGTGTTTCGCTGGTCCTATAGGTGGCATCTACATGTTTAGGCTTTGTAATGGGCTTTTTCTTACACATTACATATCTGTCTGCTTAGTGTTCCCGGTAAAAACAACTGTACAGTGTGAAAAAAAAAATGTATAGTAAAAGTGAGGTTTAAATTACAGCGTACAATCAAGTGTGGGATGTGAATGTAAGGTTGGATGATTGTGGACGGCCCTGCACTTATGCAATCATTGCTCACGATAGATCCTACTGTGGCTCATGCATAAAGATCTACACAAAGGCTCGTTGATGAAGGAATAACGCACATAAAATGAACAATCTGCCATTGTTTACTCACCCTCGTGTCGCTCCAAACCTTCTTTCTTCAGTGCAAGACAAAAGACGTTTTGAAGAATGATGTCTCTTTTTTTCCTACAATCAAAAACAATGGGGGATTTCAAAGTCTGACAATTGGCATTAAAGCACTAAGATAAAGTAAATGTGAAAATATTCCAAATTTAACTTCATTTTAACGTCCACATATTCAAACTTGACACAATTCCAAAAAATACACAAAACAAAAACCTTTTGCAATTATCATTACAGCGCATCTTCAAAGCTATATCAGTCTATAATAATAGACTGATAATTTTTGAAGCAAGCATTCTGCTAAAGTCATAAGCCCAGCAGGCACAGAACGTGCCAACATGACGTCAGACGATGGATTTTAGTTGCCACACCTGACAACTAAATGTCAGGTTTTGACATCAATATGACGTTGGTTTAAGATGTTGGCTAGACGTTGGATTTTGGTCACTTTCCGACACAACCTAAATTCAACCAAATATCAACGTCATTTTATTTCTTTTTTTGGCCTCAAAATAATGTTGTCCTTAGATGCTGGCTAGACATTGAATTTTGGTATTAACGTCTTATGGCATTGTGTAGGAGGTTTGGACATGACATGAAGATGAATAACTGTTCATATGATCCTGTTATAGCAGTCTTGTGTATTGTGGTGTAACTCAGCAAGCATTTTTTTGTTTTTAAAAGATGTCTAATAGATGACTAATAGACATCTAAACATAGTCGTCTTGGCTAAAACAAGGCTAAATTTCGGCAGTCAGTGAAAATCTTAATAGACTTCTAAGATTAAGCCAAAACTAGACTAGTCATCAAATAGACAGAAATGAATACACTACAAATGTTAATGTTACAAATGGACTACAAATATAAAGTTTGTCTAATTTAATGACTAGTCTAGTTTTAGCCTATTCTTAGAGGTCTATTAGATTTTCACTGACTGCCCAAGTTTAGCCTTGTTTTAGCCAAGACAACTATTTTTAGATGTCTATTAGAGCCCCAGATCAGAGCCCCAGATCTAAAAATCTATAAAATGAGCACAGCACACCTAGATTTGATTTATTAATCCTTAACCAATGCAAACTATCCATAGTGTATAAATATGCATTTTACATCTAAACCCCTAAAATAGATGCTTAAAAATGGAAAAATATATGTAATTTAAATGACATACACATGTTTTATCGTTTCACAATCTCCAAAATCAAGTTCATAACTCCAAAAATGTTTGGCTTATATCTCATAAATCAGACTTTGTCAAGATTTCCAGTTCATATCTGACATATTAACACATTCAAGTCAGCAAAAATCATCTCTTTCTATGACATTTTATAACCACATCTCCAGATTTTACTCCTTTCATCCAGAAATAAGTGTTAGACAAGGATTGTTATGACTTGTTCACACTGTCAGTCAGTTCCTTGTCCTTTTCACTCACTTGTCTGACATGAACCAACGGGAGGCCTTGTCTGTCAGAATGGCAGTATGGGTAATGAGAATGGAATTCGGCTCTCCAGGCACTGGTCACCCCCTCAATGGGGCGTAACGGAGTAGGACCACACTGGGGGTCATACTCCACACTTATGCTGACCGGGAGATCTTATCGCAACTGCCCGACACAGTCAATTTGACCGTGTAGCCGGGTGTCGGCTTACTTCCCTCCCTGGCCACATTAGCTCCATGAAAAATAACAAAGACACAAGGTCACAGGAATCCAGAGCAGAGCCGCGCGCATCCCCTGTCCTCAAGAGACCGTCGCACAGACCATTTCAAGCTAAAATCTAGTGCACGAAGCTTGCTTTTCTTAGAGATTTAAAGAGATGGTTCACCGAAAAATTTAATTTAATGCATCATTTACTCACCCTCAAGTGGTTTCAAACCTTTGAGTTTTTTTTTTCTGTCGATCACAAATGAAGATATTTTGAAGAACAATAGCAATTAGCCTTGTTACCATACATCTAATTTTGAAATGTGTCATAAAAATGCTTAATATAAATGCCAGGATATGCATACATTTTTAAAAATGTGCATAAAAACTGAGTAGGATAAACTTTTTATTCGATAACACATAAAGGTGCAAAGGGTAGAATGGAAACACATTTACTGAATAAATTCTAGAGCATGCGCATCAAAAAAGTCATGTGATTTTGTTTTAATAGATCTTGCAATGACAAAAATAGTCATTAATGGACAAACTAGTTGACAGAGCACATTGTAAAATATCTAAAATGTTGTTTTTGTAATTTTAATATCCCTCAGCTAAAGCCCATCATCAAAGTGGTACACTAGTATTACCTCCAAGAGCTTCCCAAAGTCCGTCTCACGACTCGAATAATCAACGCATGTTTATTTTTTTTACTTTATCGTTTTCTAAGGCACATATACCCCCAGTATAACCCCAAGGCTTAATCTAGTCCTAGAGTTAAATGCATGTATGAGATATTGTAACAAAGCAAGTTGTACTGGTATACCTCAAAATGTGTCAGTACTATTGTTTTGTCTCAAGATACAAAACAGTAATGTTTTTTGTAGTGTACGTTTATTAAAGTTATTTAAAAATCTTAATTGAACTAAAATCTAATCCTGGTTTAGACTAAGCCTTGTCTGTGACACCGGCCCTTACTGTGTCATAAGAAAAAAGTTCACATTGGCTAAAATAATGCAGAAAATTCAGATTTTCTCTTTGCTATTTGCCATCAGTTTATCAGGAAGTTACCATTTTGGATGGAAACGGTGCTTCATTCGCATATGTTTTATGCGATATTTCAAATTTGCACATAGATTAAATCCACATCATTGAATGGAAACTAACTGACACTCATAATAGGGAAAATAACCTACTATAAAAATCAATGGCTACATCATTTTTCGAAATATCTTCTTTTGTGATCAACAAAAGGAGGAAACTCGAATAGGTTGGGGCAAACAAGTTGGGGGTGAAAAAATAATGAGAGAAATTCCCATTTGTGGTGAACCAGCCCTTTAAGACTGCAACCTGGAGGTTTACAACATACCGTAAAAATTTGTAGTTCAAAATTTATATCAGAACATGATCGTGGGATATGCAAACAATAATATGCATCATGCTGTCCCACATTTTTGGGAAAAACAATCCAATATTTCCATAAACAACCAACACTACACTGTAAAAAAAATCTGTTATTTATTTTTTTTCCATCAGCTAAGATGCCAGAAAATAAATGTAAAATAACGGCTGTTAAATTACAGACGTTTACCGTTAAAATAACAGATGTTAAATTGCAGAAATTTTCTTAAATTAAAATTTTACGATATATTTAATTTTATGGTAAATTACTGTAATTTAACAGCCGTTATTTTATGTTTGCGTATTTTACATATTTTACATTAAAATTGTATGAAAAATTTCTGTAATTTACCATCTGTTATTTTACGGTATATTTCTGTAATTAAATGGCCGTTATTTTATGTTTACATATTTTACATTGAATTTCATGAAAAAAAAAATTGTAATTTACCGTCTGTTATTTTACGGTAAATTTCTGTAATTTAATGGCCGTTATTTTATGTTTACATATTTTACATTAAATTTCATGAAAAAATTCTGTAATTTATCATCTGTTATTTTACGGTAAATGTCTGTAATTTAATGGCCGTTATTTTATGTTTACATATTTTACATAAAATTTCATGAAAAATTTCTGTAATTTACTGTCTGTTATTTTACGGTAAATTTCTATCATTTAACAGTCATTATTTTATGTTCACATATTTTACGTTAAATTTCTGTAATTTACCGTCTGTTATTTTACATTAAATTTCTGTAATTTAACTGACGTTATTTTATGATTACGTATTTTACGTTAAATTTCATGTTAAGTTACTGTAATTTAACTGCCGTTAATTTACGTTTTTATAAATAACAGATTTTTTTACAGTGCAGGTAACACAGGTGATCAAGCCTGGTGATGCTCATTGAAAGTGTTTATTTTAGGGGCTCCTGTGATGCTCCTAGATGGATAAAACATACGAGAAACAGGTTATGAGTGAATATCACAAAACATGGCAAGAATATGCTCGGATCACATTTCATCTCAAAAACTAGAAGTGAAAACAATTGCGTTTACTACATCTTTTTAAGGTAAGTGGTTGCAAAAAGTTCATATGGACTGAATTTAAACAAATTTAAATGTAGTAACGTTCAATTTTTTGTTAAAATTCAGCCTAAATCAGTTGTTTGGAACCACTTACCTTTAAAAATGTAGTAAATTTAATGTATATTTTTCGGTCTAAAACATGAACTTGGGACTGTTTTTATTAATATTATTATCAACATATAGCAGGAACAAGCATCCATATCTAACTAAAACCTGTTTAACTGTTACTAATTGCAATATAAATGTCACAATTGTAGTTTTAATTGACTAATATATCCAGTTTTAGGGTGTGATATGTCCTGGCCATTTTTTGACCATCATGTTTTGTGAGGATCTGCAGTGCACCTGAATACAAAACTTTTGTGCTTGTGCTCAAATTCTCTTAGAGCTCGTCAAGTTATTGCAATCCACGAATCATGACATACGACGCTCTCTAACAGTTTCCCTCATGGACTTGACCATTTGTTCAATTTAAGTGCACCTTTTTCCTAAAAATCCTTCTTTAACATCCTCCAGCAGGACCAATTAGGGACGTTACCTTGGTCAAAACCAGCTAATGTGTTTGTCTTAATGGACTCCAGAAGCCCCGCAGAGAAGCTCGTCGTCTACTATTTTTATGTGCACTGTCTTTTAGCATCCCTCAAGTGTGTATAAAGCGTGTGCGTTCGCCGCTTTTAAAATCGACAACTTACTGACCTTTCTGCTGTGGGATAATGCAATTATTTGTAATTACGATGCACACTTGCAGGTACATTTTTACATTTGGTGTACAATTAACAAATCCGACACGAGCAGAGACACTACTAAACATGCAGGGAAACACTATATTAGGAGTTTGAATGCATTTCATATCTTGTGAAACTCTGATTAGTCTGTTTTAGGTCCGTGCGTTGTTTTTGGATTGATGCATTAGTACATTTACGTTAGCAGCTGGCGTCCGTTCGCTCCCATTCGAAGCATCGTTTTGTTTTTTGTACTCTTCCATTGCTCAAAACGCTGTGCTAAAAGCTTTAAAATGGATTGTACGAAGCTGATAAACAGAGTGATTTCTAATGTCTGTTGCACTCGTA